ACCCTATAAGAATGTAGGCGTGAACTTGCTGGGGTTGTAAGAAAGAAGTTGTGGTTGGGTTTAGAAGGTTCAGAACGAAGGGGAAGGAGAGGGAGAGAGAGGGGCAAAGAGTAACATGAGGAAGGCAACCCTATGCAATTCTTTCCTCGTCTCTCCCTCTGTTTTCTCTAAAACAGTCCCTTCCACTTCCCTTTCCCATAATTCTCATCTTAGTCTGAAGAACCCAATCTGAAATAATGAAGCCTGAAATAAGGAGGGCAAATTTGAAGGAGGAGAAGGAGAAGGAGAAGGATAATAGGAAGAAAGAGAAAGATGGAGGGAAGAGAGAGAGAGAGAGTCAGAGGAGGAGGTAGGGGTTGCCGGTGGAGAGGAAGAGGACAAGGGTAATATTGGGTTTTAAAAAAAAAATAAACATCACATGGTGTCACGTGTGTACGGATTTTGACGGAGTATTAATGGATACTGACTTCAAGGATAGAGCTAAACAATTGTAAAAAAAACTTGGGGTACCCTAAGACAATAGTTAAACAGTAAGGGTAATAGTTTGTCGATTAGCTAAATAGTAGGGGTAGTTTAAGAAATTTGCCCTTAACAGTCCATTTGGTTTGTGTGACTGGGATAGGAAAATAGGAATATTCTTCCCACGTTTGTTTTGAGAGAAATGATGAGATGCGATGAGAACTAGGTTCTCAATTTTTAGGACACGGGGTCTCACCAAATAGGTGCAGCCCCACTGCGACTGGAAACTACTGCAAAAATTTTATCGAAGGAGGTAAAGTTGCGTCGTCTTCTTCTCAGTCGCCATCCAACCATCTTCTCATTGGCGACATTTCCAACGATCTTTCTCGGAGGTAAGCTCATATTTGTGTTCCTCTCACGATTTCTGCTCCTTTCTGTACCATTTTTATCTATTTTCATGAATGAGCTCTCCATGAGATTTTCCCAACGCCTAGAGCCATCTATGGTCGTCCAGATCCAAAAACACGCCTGGTCTACCATTGAAGGCGTTTATTTTAACGCCGGAGCTCCAAATCTATCATCTGGTATCTGTCTTTTTATAGATCTGTTGCTTTTTCTAGACCTGCTATGTGCTATATATTTGTTTCAGAATTGTCGTTTAGATTTGATTATATTGGTTTCGAATACATTTGTCTGTGTTAAATTTTTTCTGTTTGTAGATTTGTTTTAGATCTGTTGTAGATTTGGTTTCAAATACATTCATCTTCTTCTCAATAATGCTCAAACTCATATACGTATTTTTTTTTTTCATTTTTTGTTGTGTTCCAGGTTATCTCAAGAAACCCAAGGGGTTTTTAAGCTAGGTAATACATCTCTGTCAACCCAAGCAAGGGGTTTTCATTTTTTGTAGTGGAGTAGTATATACTTTGGGTATTTCGTACTCTGTTGCTTTGAGATGATGAATAGCAGTAGTATATGCTAGTTTGAGCCAATCTGAGTTGGCTTTGAGATGATGAATAGCAGTAGTATGAATAGCAATAGTATACAACTTGAGTGTTAGTCAAACTGATTTCTTTACAGACATAGTTGGCTTTTGCGTGATGGAAATATCAATCATTTTTTTTATGTAAAATTTAAAGCTGACTGGTAAATATCAATCATCTAGGAAGAAGATGAAAAATGGAACCAAGGAATGGTAAAGCTGAATGATTCCATGTCTTCATTCATTCTATAGACTATACAAACTGACCCATTCCATCCAATTGGAGTTGGGGTCCCCTAGTATGATCTATTTATGATCATGACCATTGATTTGATTGTAACACATGGATGGATTGATGAACATAAACTTCTCAATTAATCAAAATGGTTTTTTTTGGAAGTTATATGTAATATACTTATTTTATAAACAGTAAAGAGTGAAAAACATTCATTTGTTTGGGTGAGTTGTGGTCAAGTTGGCAATGCAAAAGAATTGTGGTGGGCCTCTAGATTTTGTGTCTATCTGTAATTGGAGAGTGTATGGATTTGTCAAACTGTGATGGATCCAACAATCTTGTAAAATTTTCTCAGCAATCAAACACTGGGAAGCAGATTTGGCAGGATAATTGGTCTTAGCAACCGAACACAGGTGATAGGATTGAGAAAAAAAAGTTTCCCTTCTCATCCCATCCTTTTTCGGCAACCAAACAGACCATAAGATAATTAAGTAATTAATAAATAAGCAAATTAAATTAATTAATTAAATTAAATAAACAAAGCTAATTGATCTAAATAAGTAAAATCAAGCTAATTAAGTAGGGTTTTAAAATTTAACCTAAACAAAACTACTTTGGCCATTAGTTTTTAGGTCAATGGTTTAATCTTCCAATTCGAACGGATCAACCTATGATGTTTTGAAATAATAAAAAATGACCCAAAAACCATTTACTTGATCAAACAGTTTAGTGGTTTAACCATCCAAGTCAATGGTTGTTGACTAAGTTTAAAATTACAGTTCAACCCAAGAATTGCTCAATTCCATTTTATACTTGGCCCAAAATTTTTCAAAAAAAAAAAAAACATTGACTTAATCAACAAACTACTGTCCCAGATGATTGAACCGCTAAATTGTTTGGGGCAAATTTTTTAAACTACCCCTAAGGTTTAGGAAATTGATTAACTATACCCCTATTGTTTTAATATTGTCTTAAAGTACCCCTACTATTTCTAACAATTATCGCATAGCTCCATTCCCGTTAAGTCTCTATCATAAACTGTTTACACATAACTTCGTGTGTTTGATTTAATGTTATATTATACCCAAAATACCCTTTAATGGTCATAAATGCCCATTTCACTTACACAAAGAGATGAAGACCAAAACATGTGGTAGTCATTCGCAAGTACACTGGATTTTGTGTAGCATGCACATCAACGAACCGTGTGAACAGATCATTCATCAGTCACCACCATCATCTCTCCAAATTAGAATTTAGAAATCCTTGAGAATCTTTTGGACCCGTTCCAGGGTCACGAACAACACCATCGTGAATAGCCCCTGTTCCAAGGTCATGAACAAAGCATTCAACTTAACGCATTAAAGGAATTACAAAGACAAAATCCTTTTGAAACCAAGCAATCCGTTCTGTTAGAAAGTGACTAGTCGATACTTTACGATGCAATACCCCCACCGGATAGATGTAAACAACCCTTAACAAGTGCTCACTTGATCTTCTTCTTTGGCCTCAGCTGCTTGCTATGACCACATTTCTTCTTTCTGTAATTGACAACCCTGGGATGCGGACTACATAGCATTTCCTACAAATCATCTTGTCCTAATTGTATTTCCGATTCAAAGCCATCAAAGAAGGCTTAATAATTCCTCCACAAAGCCCCATAACCATATGCAATGTAGATTATTTCTGGATGTTGTAGTTAGCAAAGGCCTAGCCATGTTCGATCTGCTTTCCAGCGAAGGTCATCCTCTTCTCTACTCAAGTCGGCGGTGGTGATGACTATCCTTCCATCATCATCCTCTCTCTCTCTCTATATATATATATATATTTTCCTCTTTTCCTTTCCATCTTTCTCTTTTTCCATTTTTTGGCCATTGTTCATTGTCTTCCAACAAGAACAATGAATCTCAACGGTGATCTTCTCTTAGTCTTCCTTGTTATCACTACCAGCAAGCATTTCTTTGCTTCTTTTTCTTATGCTTTTCTCCCCACCATTCTTTCTTCTCCTTCCCTCTCGATTTCATTCTTCTCTCCCCTTCATCCTCTCTTTTCCCTTATCCTTGTTTTGTCACCACCGCTGCAAGTTGCAACAGTGGATTTAAACGCCTCTCTCACTTTCTTCCCCTCTCTCTTATTTCTCTCTCTGGTTCTCCCTTCCTCTCCGATTCCTACCCATCCTTCATATTGCCTAATTAGGGTCGGACCATTTTTGCTTCATGACATCGTAGAGACCCATACACATGGTGGAGTATTGTATTTGCCATAGGATGGTAGTTGAAACGCCAGAGAAGAGAGCAACAACGCCTTCTGTTTGAACAATCCAAATCCCGACCGAGAGAGGGCCGTGTGAGCAGACCATTCAAGGATGGCAATATTAACGGCAGGATTTCTAAATTCTAATGTGGAGAGAGAGTCCTCACCGTCTCACCATCGGACAAAAGTTGTAACGGTTGTTGTAGGCAACGATGTTTTTCTCCACTCTACGCCTATTGTGTTAAATATAGGGTCAAATAGTAATTTATGATGAGTATTTGACATCCTTTCTTAATGTAAGGGTAAAAATAACTTTTCGTATGTCTCCATTACAATTTAACGATGGCAATAATTAGATACTTTAAGAGAATATTGAAATAGGAGGAATATAGTTACTCAGTTTTCTAAATCTTAGGGATAGTTTAAGAAATTTGTCCAATTGTTTAATCTGATAAATGGGTTTTGGCTCTTTTTTTTTTGTTATATTTTATTTTTTATTTTTTAAAACATCATGGCTGATCCATTTAGACTAGACGGTTGAACCATTGACCTAGAAACGAGTGACCAAAGTGGTTCTCTTTTGGGCTGTTTTTTAAAGCCTTGCTTAATTGAGATCGGATCTTCTCCTCAAACCTGGATTGGGAACATCTCCCGCACTCATTTGTTATTATTCACGGGAGATGTTCATAATGCAGAGTGGATGTGCCTGTGAGGCGCCCATTGGTGAAGAGCAGATCCCGTCACTGCTTAATTGGTCTAATTTATTTATTTAGATTGGTTAGTTTTATTTATTTAAATTAATTAATTAACTTTGTTTTCCTGATTAATTTAATTTGCTTATTTAATTATTTAGTTTACTTAATGATCTTAATTAGTGGAATTTATTTACTTTGCTTAATTAATTTATTTAAATACTTTAAGGTATGAAAGGCAATTTTGAAAAATAAATCAATTTAAAAAAAAAGATCGGGAGGGTTGGGGTAACAATTAATATGAAGAAAATATTTGAAAAATAAACATTTTGATAAAAGTAATTTTGGATGTCCAGCCGGTCGGTTCAATTACCTGAACCGTTTTATCCTCTCCTCCTGGAGACGTGCGAGACCCACCGTCGCCATGAGCCCATGACTGTTGGAGGTTGCAGAGCTTTCACTTCTATGCGTATCTCTTCCTTCAGCCCTCCAATAAACCAACCCACCATCGCCTTCTCCGGCCACCCGTGCGCCCTCATCGCCAACTTCTCGAATTCTGCTTAGTACTCTCCCAAGGTACCAGTTTGTTGGCGCCTCATCGTGATCTTCAAAAGCTGTAGGACCAAACCTAATGCAGATGGCCTCCGTGAACTCCGTCCAAGACACCTGAGGGTGCGAACGGCGATACCATTGAAACCAGAGTACCGCCCCCCCCTGTAGGTAGATTGCCGCCACTTAAATTCTCTGGTGACTGGGTATTTCGTGAAAATCAAATACCTCTCCGCCCTATAAAACCACGGGATCGTTGCTAGAGACGGTAGGGAACTCCAGCTTTGGAAAGTTGCAGAAAGGACCCCCAGCCCTTCGGTTGCTCCCTTGACTGGAGCCCTCTTGATCACTGTCCCGGCTACTACCCTTTCTCACCTTCTCCTACTGCGTCGCCATAACCGACAGAGTCTCCTTCACCTCTCTCAAATCCGAAGCCACCTTGTGATAGTTCAGCTGCATCTGCTCCATCCTATCCTCCATTGTAGCCGATCTGGTGAGAGTTATCGGCTACTCACAACTCTACACAGGCTTATCTAATATGCACGTACTGATTATGAGTCCAGCACTCTAATAGCATGTTTGGATCTGATTCTCCTCATGAAAAGTTTCTTTTTTTTCTTACTTTCATTTTCGGGAAGCTGAAAAAATGAAATTGAATTCTGTTATAGTTGGCACAGGGCTTAAATGGAGACAGGAGACTACAAGTAGAGTACTTAATGACATCTACCAAAAGCTGATAAGGATTGTGAATTTGTGACTGTGGATATCTGGAATGATTAATTTCACAGCCCAGGTGATTTATTGATTATAACACATTTTTCGTATCCTTTGTTCTAAGAAAGCACTCACTCTTGTTCTGCAAGAAAGGAATCCATTTTTAAATTCCTGTTAAGTAATGATTTACTTACCCTTTAATAGTGGGTAGACTTTCAGACTTTTAGGTGTAAATTCATGCACATTGTTTTGATGAAAGCTGCATTTTCTTGTATGCTTAAGAAATAGTTGTGCTAGCCTCATTGTGGGTGGTTGACAATTGTACTCCTTAATCCAACGGTTTAATGAATTTTACCATTTCCAATTAAAAAAAAAAAAAGAGTTGAGCTACCCTTATAACTATGCAAGTCGGAAGGCATTATCTTCTATGTCTCCTTGTTAAATATGTTCTTACTCCTTGTGGGAAAATACATCATACAAAGCCTGTATTCTACTCAACAGACATTTGTTAACACTTCCTCCAGACCAAATTGTACCCACCAATCCTACATCTTGTCATTAATTCAATTTCCCAAGGTTCTATTCTGCCGTACAAGTTGCTTGGTTCTATTCTCCCAGTCCATTTTGGAGTCTGATGCATTGTGAGTAAACACTGAAATTACAAAGAAAAACACAAAAATTCCATCGCAGTCTGACTATGTTACCAGAGATAATCTGCAGTTATCTTGCCATTTTACCCAGCTTAAGTTTTTCTGCTCTAGAAGGACTGCTAACAAGCTGGCTCCTTGTCTTACTTCTCAGGTGTCTATTACCCTATTTTGTAGTGATGAGCTTGGCCCTAGGCCCAGTTGGTGGAACTCTATCCCTCTGGATTGTGCTCCTTATTTTCCACCTTGAATGAATGATATCTATTCTTTCTAACAAAAAATGTAAATCAGGAGAATCTTCGTAGTTGTAAGATAATACTTTAGGTTTTCCGTTAAGATGAATTAAAAATTATGGAATTCAACCCTAAGTATAGTAGATCATAAATTATGTTTCTCCTTCAAAAGTTAGCAATCTATTTCTTATCACATGCATTTTACTCAACCGCTTGTGACTCTATTAACAGCTTTAGGTAATGTCAATGAGAAGCTAAACAGAAATGGCAAATGGTATTCCTTATCCATTACGCATGGTAGCTTCTGCTGCTGCTATTTTCTTTGGGGGAGTGTTTACTATGTCACTTGCATCTTCTGTAACCATTCGAGCATTACAAGCTACTTCCGAAGCAAAACGGGTAAGCTTATTTATTTATTTAATGCTAATATCAAGCTTTCTTGCTGATAAAAAAAATGCCACTAATATCAAGCTTTAAAAGTAATGTCATGCCTAGCCAGGATTCCTGAGAAGGATGGAGAATGTTACTTTCTTCTTTGAATTATTTATCCTTTTTTAAGATGGATACTTTGACTTATTTATCTATATGTTGCAAAGTTCCCAGTGAAGCCTCCTGAAGCAAGGGAGCCTTCTTGCTCTGACAGAGCAATTTACAGGAGCAATGAGAAACCCACTAACAGTTCTATTTCAGCCATTGGAGGAAGATGTGACCCTCACAAACCATTCACAAGATTAAAGATGACCTGGCCTGGTCATATCTCCACTGCCTAGTTCAATGCTTCATGTAGATAATCAGGAACCTTCCACCTAACAAATTTTTTAGTGGACAAGAAGAGATTACATATTTCCTGCTCCACCCTTTGTTCAAGGGACAAGTTTCAGTCTAGAAGCCCTGCATATGACAATGCAAAGACATTTTGGGGCATGCTAAAATTGGGAATTATAAACTTGAACTGTTCAACAGTATATGGTGGGACATCAAATCAATATCTATCATAACATGGCTGAAATAGGTCATCTAGACTCTAGAGAAGAATTTAACCCATTTGGATATTGAGTTCTAGTTCATCTCCTTAACTTAATTTTCATAGGAAAAGTCAACTGGTTGACAAAGAATTTGGCCAAGTAGACTGAATTTTAAGTTCTACCACACACAAGGGAAATTTTAACCAGCCAATATATAGTTGCCCTCACATATTTTAGATGTAGGATGACTAAATAAAATTTGTGGAGATTGATCCATGTACTGCCAGAGGATAAAAAGAGAATGCAAGAGACTTGAGTTGGTTAGCATCTGGAGTCATTCTTCCAAGTCAATGCACCATTTGAAGTTAATATTATCCCAAAATAACCTCCCTCTCTTTGAACCTCCTTTTTCTTTTGGATTCTGTTTTCACAACTCTCTACTTTATTGTGCTTAACTATATTTTTCATTTTTGGCTTCTGTAGAAAAAAGTCGCAATGCCGTGTGGAGTTTGTAAAGGAAAAGGTTTCTATCCGTGCAAATTATGCAAAGGGAAATCTACAATAGAATGGTCACCTTTATATGATCCTGTTGTCATAAATCCTTGTCTTTGCCCTACATGTGAAGGAAACAGGTCTATACTCCTCCCTTTTTCTCTTCTGGTATATGCTACATGACTTGGGCTTCTCACAAATTAAATTTGGTCAAAAACTTGGAAATTTGTCAAGATAGTTGAACTCCATTATGACTCAGATAAAGTCAAAGAGGCTTGACTTTCATGAATTGATCCCATACTGAAAACCTCAATCATTAAATGATCTTTCAAGCATTGAAACTCAAAAAGAGGTTGTAGACTGAATTTGATTCTGAGTTTTAAACCTATGTGCATAATCTTATAGGTTTGTCATGGTTTTACAGGGTGCAACGCTGTCTAAACTGTCTTGGAAAGGGCTACTTCTAATTTAAGAGGTGGAAGTACATTCTTGTACCCTTACATAATACTCCCAGCCTGTAACAAGGACTGCTTATTGCTAATTGTTGCCCCAGCATGCTATATCCGTTTTTATTGCTATTTTTGTGTTAATACATGCCAGACTGCAATTCTGCAAAATGATTTTTCTTGTTGCATACTACTATAGTTGTTGTAATTGTAGCCTTGTAGGTAGTCTCTTTTATATGATATTATTATCAGTTTATCACTGTCCACAAGGGTGTTTTTACCTCTTTGCCACCACTCTCTTCTGATTGTTTCAGATTTTAATAAAAAGTAGAACCAGTGGAAATACAAAGATAAGCTACCCCAAACAAAAATAGGAGGTACCATCCAAGCCATCCACCGAATAGGGTTCTTCTGGATTGGTCACCTGTTCAATCTTCCATTAATCCATATCTACCCTGTATCCCACCAATGTTTTAAAATGCGGAGGCATGACGCAAGGTGTTCCACTACCTAGAGGCGTGAGGTGTAGTTCAGAACGCAAGAGGCGTAAGCCTCCCAAACACAAGGAGGTGTAAGCCTCCTTAAGAGGAGGGGGGTTAGGAGGAGGATGAAGAGGAAGAGGGGATCTCATTTTTTCTTTATTTTTAATAAAAATCTTTTAAAACACATCCCACCTTTTATTGGTGTTTCTCTCAGGGCCATAAGTGAAACTGGCCATTTTAAGTTTCAATATTTTTATATTAAACTTTCCCAAAAAGAGCTTTGTTTGGGCCTTGTGGCAAGGGTTTGGGGGCTCAAATTTGCCTAAATATATACAAACAGTAAGTGAGGCCCCAAAGTTGATGCCACAACATTCCTTGATTGTTCATCCTTCACTAAATGATTCAATTAGCAGACCAACATGAAATGCTGTCATTTTCCATCTTTTTTTTATCAATATCATTTTACATCATTTCCTTACCTGAGATAGATTAGAAAAGAATAAGGTTATGTGCATTGAAAAAGCGTGTCCACATCTCTTTCTCTGTTTTCCTTCTTCCTATGAACCTGACAGTCATGCAATTGCATTCTTTATGAGAGAAAACTTTGGTGTGACAAATCCCAGTCTGATGAGCTTGCCTGCAATAGAGTCCTTGAATCACTAAAAGACAACATGTCCACAAACTCTCCCTGCTTTTGTGCAAAAACATGTGTATGTTTTATCCTTTTGTGATTTGAGGGCCACTGGTTCTAGCATTGCTCCTTTAGGAGGTGTTTGGTACTGTGATTAGTAAGTCAATTGTATTAATGCCACATGGGTGTTAAGATCTCCATAGGCTTTTTCTTTTGGCTGGAAAATGTTCAGTCAATAATTATAATACTCTGCATGGAAATCCATATCAGGTGTATTTGAAGAAATGTCAAATTGACACTTTTTCTCCAAGAGGAAACACATTTCCCATTAAACACGTATTTTCCACTGAACAGGATACAAGCATGAAAGATGGAGAGTGCATCAACCCAAAACGCTTCAAGTTGAAACACCAACAGTGCTAAACACAACCTTAGTGATTCATCATCCACTAGAAGAGCTAATACCTTATTTCATCCCTATTAGCCCCCTTCTATTGTCATCCCAAAGAACTAAAAAGTACCCTCCAAGTGATTGTTTAAGAGAAGGATCCATTGCTCATCTATAGTCGCATAAAGGTTCTGATGTGTTAACTCACTCCATACAGGAGGTTTCAGGCTCTAAAGACATGATCATTAATGTATGAGTGCATTGTGCAATTATGAGAGGGTAACAAAGGATATTGAACAAATTTGTTGGAGGAAATTTGAGGGGCAGGCTAAGCAATTGCTCCTAGATCAGATCATTGTGATGTGTGATTATGAAGTTATGGACTGGTTGGCTCAGAAGGGCAGGAATAGTGACAGTGAAGTGTTAGAGATCAGCAAATAGAGCAGCTCATGCTGCCTCTCAAAGGGGTTTATCTGAATCTGGTTTTTTACAGGGTGTATCCCAAGTTGGTTAGAAGCTGTTTTGGGTGAAGACAGCAGGGGTGATAGGCTGTTGCTTCTTGAATTATTGTCCATCATTTCTGAGTGTTTCTCTTCTGTTTTCATGGTCCTGTTGTTAGGTTCTGAGTCTAGTGGTTCAGGTCTTCTGTTTGTTTTGTTGGTTCCGAGTCTTGTGTTGAGTCTGGTGCTGGTTCTTTTCTTTGTTGATCTCTGTTTTCTTTGTTTCTATTGTATTGGTTTGGTTTTTTGAAATGAAGAGTCAATTTGGGAAGAGTACAAAATACAAATATTTACAGCGCAAAACCATGGAAACAGTATTTCTAAACCTTGTATTTGCACTCTTCCCAAACTGAGCCAAAAGTCCTTTTAACCCGAAAGGGGGAAGGGGGGAGGGGGGAAGGTGTGAGCAAACAACGTCAAGTGTGAGCACAACGTACAGAAAAATCTGGCTATTGATATAAGTTGAAACATGGGCCCCGAGATCCACATCAATCCTGATGGTTTTGTTTGGCTGTTTGGCTTTAAAAGCTTATCATGGGCTCACAGAGAAGGTTTTATCTTCTCAAGCTGAACTTTTTCTGTACTGGATCGAGGAAAAGAATTTCATATCAATCTCTTTGGAGTAAGGCTTTTTACCCTTAAAACTTTTCCATGAAAACGTCCAAATATTCAAATAAATGAGGAAAGTTAAAAACATCCTGCACTGTTTGGGAGCAGAGCATTCTGTACATGACAGTTACCCCTTGCAGTCCCTTGCTTATCTTTGGCTAAAAAGAATTTTCTGTAGGGGCCGGAAAGGCTTTGACCAGTCACAACCTCCGTGAATTTTGATGAAAATCCATGTGTTTGGTATCACTTTTATGATGCCTGTTTGTTGGTTCTTGGTTGTAAGTTTTTTCGGTATCATGGTTTTCCGGTATCATAATTGAAGATAACAGAATATTTTATTAAAAAGGAACAAATAGCAGAAGTTGCATGGGCGTCTTGCAATACATGTTGGGAACATCTTTCCATAACGACTACCGAAGATGCTTCCAATGCACGCTGAGATGTGCGTGTGTGGGGCACGCTCTGTCGGGTGCCAATCTGAACTCTAAATACCAAACTGCTCACAGAAATAGGCAGACATAAGCCTAACAATTCAAGGCCCTCTGCCAACATATTGACACTCCTTGGAACCAATTTGAGTGAGATATTCAAATTGGCACCTACGGATTGATCCATTCTCACCATAGGCCTGAATTGCAATCTCATAATCGGTTCTCATCCAATTGCAATTGCCCTCCACTTCCACGTTCCTCAAACCCCCACAGCACCATTAGTTTTAGACTCTGGATCTCCTGTGCACGATAATTCTGCCCACGTTTATTCACAACACATTACCTCTGTGGATTGGGAACATCTCCCCCCACATAATACTATGTAGGAGGATGAGATGTTCTCCATGTATAGTTGCAATATTATGTGGATAGACATGGGCAAAGTTTGTATCGGCAGGAGATCCGGATTCAGGCTCACACACACATGCAGGCAGAATTTATATACAAGACAAGAACACCATTTAAGATTACAACCTAAAAAACCCCACTATTGAACTATAGGCCTTTTCTTGTATATAAATCCGTTGAACCTCTTATTCCTTTTTAATAATCTCACCATGCACTACCAACGTGAATCCCAGCAGCTAGCTGAGTCTATTGAAAATGTTCAAGAAGGTACCAGCGATGCTACACATGATGTCTAGGTTACCGTAGCTTTGCACCGTGTGATTGACCACGGGGACGATCTTAGTCAATGTATAGATGCAATGGTTTCCATCTCCGACAATGGCTCAGCCTAAACGATCATCCCAGAACAAGCTTAATGCCATTACTAACTCCAAACTCGAACCCAACGTTCGGAATCTGAATCGTGACTCCTCGTCATTCTTCCAAGCCACCTGTCTGTAAGCAATGCATCTCTATCTCTCTCCCTCTCTCTAAAATGCTTATTGCCAACATCGTTCGCCGCCTCATCAGAGACCTTGATTCCGTCGTCCGGTTCACGTGCATGAATGCCAATGTCAATGCAGTCTCCTCTTCGCGAATCGCGATGGCGTCACAATGGTGACCCGGCCGACACCTGAGAACATTCATGGTATTGGTAGGAAGTGGGACATTTCGATTTATGCATGGGTGGGTGTCCATGCAATGAACCAATCCACCATTGATTCTCATCATCTCATCATGTTTCGACTTTCAACACTCCTCGTTAATATATGTGACCGTATTATGGCTTAATTTTTTCAAATTTGGCTGATGAACCTTCCTTCCGGGAAAGTTGACCTCGACCGTTTTCTTTACCATCCAAAAAAATTATCCACTAAACAAACCGGATGTCCAGACTCCAGTAGTCTATATGGGTCATGGGTCATGGGTGTGCGCCCATCATTACTTTCTTCGTTGGTGGTGGTTTTGACGGAGAGAAAGCAAAATAAAACCCTTTTTTAAGCCGGCCATCATCAAAATTCAGAAGCGGTGTAAATTGTAATCGAGTCGAGTGGAACTTGGGCGCGTCTTATTCGTTTCACTTTCGACTTCAATTCAATTCTTTTGTAGTCGAGTTTGAGTTTGAGTTGAAGGTAGACGTAAACCCCATAACTTGTACTATGTACTGTATGGCTGCTCAATGACAATTACCTTCTTTAACTTTCATTCCAGTTTATTTGTACAAACACAAATATGTAGACCGCAGAACTTTATATTTTGTATATATTTGTATTTATGTTCCTTGCAGAGCCTGTCCATTTGGGTCTCCAAAACTGTTGGTATAGATGTTTACAAGCAGATGATCAATGATCATTGTCCATTAGTGTAAGTTTTCATGGCAATCCGCCAACAAACATCTATCATAACAGTTTTGAAGACCTACACTCGCAGTTTATGACTGTTGGCATAGAGTTTCTTCAAAGAATGAAAATGAGCAACATGGACCATGGTTATTTTTCATATTGCAGATTACCTCAATTTTTGTGTTATAGGCTTATTTTTTCATTCTAAAAAAATGAAGCCCATGACAAGAATTTTGTAACCAAACGCTCTAATGTTATTCATTCTCTTGCCTATTCTTGGTCAAGATGAACAACAATTAAAAAAAATGAGACCGAAAAGCAACCAATCAAACATGCCATTTTTTTCTTATTTGTTGAAAATGTAAAAAAGAACTTTTTCTCCACCCAACCAAAAGTTCTCTCTCTCTCTCTCTCTCTCTCCACACAAAAATTTATTCCTAAACAACCTCCCCCACTATCCCCAACTTTCTCTTAAGTTATTTCTAATTTAGTAGAGAGTTTCTCCCCTAAATTATCTCTGATTCTTACTTATCTTCTCCCTCACTTTTTATCTACATCTATCTAAAGAAAGTTTGAATTAAAAAATTTAAGAATTATTTAAATATTCTAACATATAATAACTTTGAAATATTTATTAAAAAGACAAAAAATATAATTGATTTAATATTATTAATAATTACATATTTTTACAAAATTCATCACTAAATTATGTACAAATAATATAATTATGATTTTCTAGATTATTCAATCTAAATGTTATTCAAATAATAATATAGTTTAAATAGTTAAAATAACAAAATTATGTATTAATAATACTATAATTTAATGAATTATTAAATTTAATAAGTAATTAATATTTTAAAATTTAAATAAATAAATAATATTGTAAATAACAAATTTCATTTATACCAATTAATAATTATAGAAAATAACTTTCAAAAAAACATTATTTATTAATATAATTTTAAAATTTTTATTTTTATTTATTATATATTTATCTATAATAAAATTAATATTTATTGTATTTTAGTAATTATTTATTGTTTTTTGTGATAAATATATTTTCAATAATTATGTAAAAATCTATTTTTGTTTTGTTATTTAATAAAAAAAATTTCAATAATTATTGGAGTTTAAACTACTGTTATTTAGATTTTTAAATTTAATTTATTGTGTATTTGGTTATACATTTTTAATAATTATTGGAGATTAAACTATTGTTCACGGGTTGGTTCATTTCAGTTGTAGGTTATTTGGCCAACCAAATCGACCTGGTCAAATTGGGGGGTTGGTCACTCAAGTTATATCGATTTGGGTCAATTTTTTGTTTGGTCGGTCGGTTCAAAAGATTTAAACTTAAAAAATTAAATTTAAATTAAAAAAAAATACAATGGCATTATTAAAAATTAAATTTATGGTATAAACTATTTTAAACTAAGAAATATTGGCATTTTCCACTCTCGTATTAAAAATATATATTTAAAATATAAAATATTAATATATATCTATGGTCGAGTCGTTAGATTTTAATTAGTTTACAAATGGCCAAAGCGAAATTGATCCAACCCAGCCGGATAGGAAATTGTTGAACCAAAACCGACTATAAATATTAGAAATCGAGTTGGTTAGTTTCATTAGTTTGATTCAGAATGGCAACGGGGCCGAGCAGGGATGAGGAATCTCTCCCCATCCCCCATCCCTACGAAAATCCCCATCCACGTCCCCATCACTATCCCTACTAACGGGGACAAAGTTATCCCCATCCCTGTCTCCACGGGGATCCCCACTCCCCATGATCTTTATAATGTCAACTATTATGTTTTTGTTTTTATTTTATTTAAAAAGTAAAAATAAATTAATTAATATTTACAATCATATTATAAAAAATTAAAACATATTCAACCATATTTTTAAAAATATTAACATATAGATGTATGTGCACATATATATATATAAACTAAGTGTGTGTATATATATATTAGTGGTGATCGAGGTCCACATGGGGCAAGGAGTTCTCTGCCCGTCCCCGCACCATCCCCACCAATGGGTGTGAAAATTCTCCCATCTTCGTCCCCGCAAGCGCGGGGGGGGAATCATCCCCATCCCCGTGGGGATCTGCCCTGAATGGGGTGGGGATGGGGATGGGGAAAATTTTATATGGGGAGAGCACTCCCCGCCTCGTAGGGACCCCGATCCCCGCCCCATGGGATCCCCACTACTATATATATTTATATTATGCATACCTTATATATGTATATATGTACACATACATCTATATATTAATATTTTTGAAAATATGGTTCAATATGTTTGAATCTTTTATAATAGTATTGTAAATTTTAATTATTTTATTTTTATTGTTTTAAATAAAATAAAAACAAAATGGTTAACATTATAACAAATCATGGGGAATGGGGATCCTCGTGGGGACGGGGATGGGAATTTTTGCGGGAACGAGGATGGGGAGAGGTTCTCTGTTCCCACCACGTCCCATTGCCATTCTTGTCATTTGGGGCAGATCCCCACGAGGATTAGAGAAATGGAGAAAATTGTCATCCCTAAGTTTGATAAACAACTCTATCTAAACTTAATTATTGTTATTCTTTGTATTTTAAAAGTAGTATATAAAATATAAATGATTATTAATTATTATATAAAATAATTGTATATAAGGATACCAATGGGTCGGGTTAGATGGTAAATCCAACTTGACCCAACCCTATAGGGTTGGGTTAGGGTCAAGTATATTTGGTTTAGGGTCAGGTTAGAGTTTTGATTCTTTGACTCGAGTCGAGTTCGGGTTTTGATTGACCTGCCCCCATAGGGTCATGATATCTTGCATATATATTAAGTATTCTTGCAATTTTTTGACTTCTAACTTTATAGGCTTTATAATTTATTTATATATTGATTTTGATTTTCTTCTTTTTTATAAATGAAAAAAAAATAACACCTTAAAATCTATAAAACAATTTCCTTATTTAAATTAATGTATTTTAGGTCTTCAAATGTGTTAAAAAATACATTTAAAACTGTACAAGTCAATTCGGGTCAAAATCGAGTTAAACCCTATATGATCAGGTTGGATTCAAGAATTATGTATTTTTAAGTTGGGTTGGATCAAATTCAGATTGGAGTATTGGAGAGTTGAGTTAGGATTGAGACAAACCCATATTAAATCCAACTCATTAACATATATACTCTTACATGTTTCTATTGTTTATCGTGAATGCACGGGTTAGCGCTAGTAATATTCCACTACCTTTCAAAATAACTAATATTCCATCAATTCGAATTCAGCCAAAAAAATATATTCTTATATTTTATATTTTTTAATCGAATCAAACTCACTAATTAATTTTATTGATTAATCCGAGTTATAAATAATTAATAAAAAAAACTTACCCTTCGAACTCGATTAACATCCAACTCCATTTGATGGAATCCATAGGCCACCCCAAAAAGTCCAAAAAAAAGATTTTATTCTCTTGACTGTCCGTTTTGCCCTCACCTCAGGTTTGATTTGTAACCTTTTACCATGTTATTCTGTTTAAATACTTTTCGATGATAAAGTTATTTTGGTAATTTTAAACTAGGGAAGCCGGCTTTTTTCCAAAAAAAAAAAATATTTACCGCCGACTTAAAATTAAATAAAATTCATAAAGTTTGTTGAGACTCTCACTCCTCAACACCGCATGTGAGAAGCCGAGCCATCCACGTCAGCATAGAGATGCCTTATAAATATACCACATAATTTCTTTTCCTTTCTCTCTTAATACTCTCTCTCCCTCTCCTCTCCTCTCTTCTCTCAAGCGTCGTCGTCTTCTTCTCCTTCCTCAGGGGAAGGAGCCCTAAAAGGAACTACTATCTTCTTCCTTAACCTGCTCGAAGCTGCTTCCGACTGTGTCAACTCAATCCCAGCAAATGAAAGCGATTGCCTTTGACGGACAACGGATCTAATTATCCAATCGTTTCCGGATCATTGAAGGCTCTGGTAAACCCTATGTACAGAATACTTTAGTCCCCGTTTATGGTTTGGATCCGGTGGGATCCGGTGGATTTCTGCTTTCCGTCGGTCGTTCTAGTCTCGGATTGCTTTTTTCTGGGGTTTGGTGTTGGGTGTTTCCGTTCGTTTCCCGTGTCTGATTAGGGTTTCGTGTTTGAGGATGGTACCTTGTATTGCAAAGGAAGAAATTCGGATCTTGTTGTTGTTTGTGATCGGGGTTTCGCAATTGGTTTGTTGTTTCGAGATGTATGCGATTGGTGTACATGGTTGGGAATTTGATGTGACGCCTTTCTTTTCTTTATTTCATACTCTCACTTGGAAAAGGAGAAAGAAAAAACTAAAAAGAAAAGGGAAGCTTCGTTACACGGTTACAGTGGTGTTGATCTTTCAGCCTCTTTAATTTGAGGAACTATATGAAAGCTCCACCCAATAAATATACTTTTGTTAGTTTGACTTTTAAATTTTGAGTCTTCAATTCTTGTTCCACCCACCATCTTCTGTGGATTTTAATTCGTTTTTCTTATAATTGTTTGACTAGTCGTGGATTCACTTCTATTCTCAATCGGGGGAATTTTTTTCTCTCTTGTATTCTCGTATTTACCCCAGACCTCCTTAATATTTTATAAAGATGATGGGTTTTCTCTTTAATTTCCTTTGTATGTTTTAGATTCAAATTGAATGCGATTGTGATGTGTTGGGATATCAGATTCGCTTAGTATTATCTGCTTTACTTGTGGTTTTTTGGGCGTTTAGTCTTTAGTAAACGAATACTTAAAGAACTGCTTTTTGTGTTGATATGATGTTATAGAAATTCAAGATTTCAATTTGCCGCTGTTGCTGCTGCTTCTTCTGAGATTAAAAGAGTGACATTCTGTATAGTTAGTGTTTGGTGATCGTATCTGAAAGTGGCAGAATGCCGAAGGAGAGAAGAGACCGTTCGCTGTCTTCTGACAGATCTAGGGCTTCTCCTTTTCCTTGCAGCTCTAGTCGCGCTAGGCGGTCTTCATCCAAAAACCATTCGGAGCCCGCGAAAGATGTGAAAGAATGGGAAGAGGCTAGGTCTTCATCCAAACAGCCGTCGGAATCCTTAGAGGATGTGAAAGAGTGGGAAGAAGCTAGATGCCCTGTCTGCATGGAACATCCCCACAACGCAGTCCTCCTCCTCTGTTCTTCCCATGAGAAGGGATGCCGCCCTTACATGTGTGATACAAGTTATCGCCACTCGAACTGTCTTGACCAGTTCCGCAAGGCATTTTCACAGACCCCATCAGCAGAAGCAACACAAAATGAGGCTCTTCAATCGAGCACGGCCTCTGGTAGAGTGACCTCGGCTGTTGCTCCAATGGATATACAAGAGCAACCAGGTGGAGAACTTGACCCCGAAGACACCAGTTTGTTCTGCGAGGGCGAATCGAGTACGAATCTTGTGTGCCCACTGTGTCGCGGGAAAATAAACGGGTGGGTTGTTGTGGAGGCTGCTCGCCGGTTCATGAATGCAAAATCTAGGAGTTGCTCGTGTGAGACGTGCGATTTCAGTGGGACGTATACAGACCTCAGGAAGCATGCAAGACTAGTACACCCCCTTGTGCGGCCATCAGAAGCGGACCCCGAGAGACAGCGTGATTGGCGGAGGCTAGAACGGCAAAGGGACCTTGGGGATGTGGTCAGCACGATTCGATCAGCACTTGGGGAGGAGATGGGGATGGGGGATGACGATTTTTTGCCTTTTGGAGGAAGGCTGCTCGTGTTCTTATTCTTCAGCGTCCAGAATGGTTCCAGTGCCGGTAACAGCAGCTGGTCTGGTGCCTCAAGAGCTCGAGGGCAGCCAAGGAGCCGCCGGAGAACAACCCTGTGGGGAGAGAGCTATGATACAGACAATGGGTCTCCAACCGCAGAGGGTGACATCGAGTCATTGGAGAGTGTGTCGCTTCTGTGGCGACGACGACGACGACGGACATCACCAGATAACGAGCCATGAAAGTGAACAGCCTCATTCCTATGTGTTTTTGCTCGTCAGCTGGTCTGGGTTGTTTCAAAGGTGAGGTGACACCTCACTCGATGCTTTTTACCCCCTGGAATATCCTATTTCCTCTCACGTCGATCGTCGTTGCCTTGTTTGACTGTTTCATGTTTACAAAGTGCAAATTTTTTATTGAATATATGTTGGCATTTCAGGGGAAGGGGGAGGGAGGTCGGGAGGAAGCAATCAAAGCTAACTTTCTCAACTCTCACTTTGAGTACGGAGACTGCTCAGCAGAGTGCTGAAACTGTTCTGGCTTGAAGGGTTTTAGTGATGTGATATTATAGACAAAAAAGATTAGCAACGGAAATAGAGAAAAAACCTGAATCTCTGAGTCTGAAATTTATTTCTTACCATCAATTGTGTTTTTCTTCAAATATTTCATAATCCATTTAGATGTTGGCCAAGGCATTGCCGAATTCTGTTTCTGTTTCTGTTTCTGTTTCTGTTTCTCTCTCTTTCTCTTGTTGCCATTGAAAATGTATGGATTGTTTCTGAGAGGTGGGCATTAACTCTCTGTACTGGACAGTGAGCCCCTTGTCCTATTTAAACGGCATCAGAGGGTGTTTGAGAATAATTGCAACCTGAGTAACTGGGGGGGGGGGGACATTACCAAAAAGCAATGGAGATGTCGTCGTTAACAAATATCAATTGGGATCTTGGGGTCAAGGCTAAGAGTAAGACATGAGTTTTATCAAGTATTCAAGTTGTAGTCCCAAAGGACAGTTATTGAACAAGCCTCCTGTTGCCAATCCCACAGGTAACAAACTATTAGTTGATAATTAACTATCCCAATCCCACCCCACCATGCATAGTTATGGAATGTTGGGTAACATATGCAGACTAATATCTATATTCTTTTTCCCTACACGATACAACACTTACATTTTGTCAAGGTCTTTTTCCAAAACGTTTTGAACACAGAAAAGGTTCACAAGTTACAACATACATCCTCATCCAATCGAGATTGTATTAACAGCGTTTTAGCCCGTTACAAACAAGGTTACAACTTACAAGCATTTTTTTGGTGGGATGCATTGTACAGCTGAGAACACACATGGGATGGAATTGAATGTGGCGAGTGGCGACAGAGGACTGGTAATTGCCGTCCAGGGCCTACATAACCTTAGGGAGGGACAACACGCCAACCACCAAAAAGGCAATAATATGTTAAAAGATGTCTTATCACATGGAGTAGTAGAACCTCTGAGTTCTGACCACCGTCCAAAAATGCATATCGTAGAAGCAGTAACTCTTGGACAGACCCAGAGCCACCCAGACAGTGGTTGATGGGGGCCCAGACTCCAATTATTATTATCGTGGGTATGTAATAAATATAGTATATGGACCCGAGCCAGATGCTCTTGCATATTTGCTACAACATCCTGGACTGCTATGCTTAAATATGCCATTGATATTATATTTCGAACTCCTGCTTGATATTTTAGAGTCACCGAAAGAGCTTTTCTTTTATTACTTCTTCGTAAACATGGAAAGATTTGCAGTTGCAATTCCCTGAAATTTTTACTACTTTCTTGTTCTTTTAGCACCCGTCTCCATGTTTGAACGGAAACGAGGATTCTCGCCCCTGATCCTCAGCAGAAAATAAAACAAAATTCGAGTCCTCTCAAGTCTCAACCCATTGATTCTTGATTGATACAAGCTCCATGTGTTCAGAGAATCCCACCACGGCTTAGTCTTCTCATGGATGTATACGAGGAGTTACACACTTGTGGTCTTTGTAGGCCTAATCCTCGTCATCCGGGTCCCAGCTCCTAACTCGGCTATCATTTAGCTCAGTTTGGAAAGAGTGTAAATACAAATATGTACGGTGCAAATATATGTATACTGTTATTTTTAATTTGCACTATACATATTTGTAATTGTACACTTTCCAAGGCTCAGTTTGGAGGGTGTATAAATACAAATATGTACGGTGTAAATACATACAAAATACAAAGTTTCACTCTAAACACTTGTATTTTATACTCCTCCCAAACTGAGACTAATGAACATTTGCTCCTTACTCCTTAGGGAGAGAAACGATACTTCTGAGTTCTGCCGATGGATTAAAAACCATTAGAGAATAGGAACCTTTAACTTCATAATACGTGGCCATGTTTTGCAATGCTGGATATGGATTGTCATCCACTCCATTCCTTCAAGGATCACATATGGACTCCTCAATAACCAGGGTTGAGAGGACTCATAACGAGTTATTTCGAGCTTACAACAGAGCATTCTGCATTTTGTTTTACTCCCCGTACCCAAGAAGAGCAAAAAGGAATTCCTCACGGATTGAGGGTATTATAAGAGTAATGGACACTTGGACAGTTTCTTTGAATTGTTGGACCTTTTTTTACTTGGCATGATCTTTCAACCATGAGCTTGCTGCAGACAGTCATCCAGTTTCTGTGTTTTTTAGTGTGGTTGTGTAATGTCACGGCATTGCCTTCGCGTTGCCTCCTATCGTACAAATTAGATTATGGAAACAATCTAATTATGGATGATAAAGTACATTGGATTAAAATCATGCCTATCGTACAAATTATGGATCATGGAAATAATTACTTCAGGAAAAAATACAAAAAAAAAAAAAACACCAACCAGATGACTGGGATAATAAGGCTTTGTTAAGTTATTACAGAAAACAAGATCAAAATTCAGGAAAGCTAACACTAGAAAACAACCTTTTACAAACGGGGAAAATTGCCTTTCATTCAGATTTCTATGCACCCTCTGTCAATTTCAGAAATGTAATCAAAATTGAATAGCTGGCCATCAATAGATGTTGCACTTATCAAAATGGGGAGTGTTGTTCTCAACAAGGATGACTCCCAAGCAGAAAACTCAGTCATAAAGTACACAAGGCCACCAATAAGAGCTTAGCAGCACAATCGACAACTCGACCACCTCAGTATTGGTCACCTCCCAAGTACCCTTCAGCTCACCGTAAGTTTTCTAACATCTTTAACTCTGTAAATCCAGTATATCAAATATAACTTCTAAAATCCAGGGTCTCCCCCCATCTTCTGTCAGAACTTGGGCCCATTTGAAAAATTGGAAGAACCAGAATAAAATGGCATTTCTCAAGTGGGAAAATATAGATCAGATGAAAGTATAGTTCTGTTCTTGCAAATGACCCAGATTAGGGATAGCCGGATAGGCAACCAGCCTAAAATGCAATGCCCAAAAGGTGGTATCCAGAAGCAACAAAATGCATAGTGCAAAACTGCAAATCATGTATCACAAAGCATTATTAGTAGAATATGTACCTCTAGTAGAACACATGCAATAGATAAAGCTTCCGTGGCTTATTGATAATGAAGACCCCTCCCCCTTTTCCTTTATTATCTCTTTGTGGTGGAGGGATACCAATTCCATGTGTATGAGGTGCATGGTCTAACTGCAAATTTAACTGGAATTTTAATGTGCACACTGTGAAGTCAGGTCATCAGATTACCAGAATATCAAACCAACATTGTTTGACACTGAATGCATGATGACAACCAAATGACAAGTCAGTTTTAGCCCAGAGTGAACTATTCAACATAAGTGAAATTACGAATCCTGGAAATCCTTGAAAAGGTTTGCCAATACTTAATCTACTTCTTGTTCAACTTAAAATTGGAAAACCTAATCATAGTTTGCAGGAGAAACCTTTTGCCAGAAGGCACCCGGCAATGCTAGAACAACCTTACAATCTGCAGAAGGCAACTAGTAGGGGCATGTGGTGGTACTTCTAATTTGCTGTTTTTGGTGGTGGATTATAGGGTGGGGTACCATAGATGTGCAGAATGGTATGATTCTTTGCTTATTGTCTTGGTAGTGCCTCGGGTTGTAATCACTACATCTTTTCCTTTCTTAAAAAATAAATTCTTTTGTATTTACTATAAAAAAACTAGCATACTAATATCTGTTGCAAAGAAATTAGCTAGATTAAGTGTGCCACCAAAGTTCCATGCAAATATAGTCACAGTTTTATCCATTTCAAAAGGTTTGGACTTTTCATTTGCTTCTAAACTTTTGGAAGGATACTTTAACATCATCAAGGTAACTTTTCGAGATGGCCCACCTGTTCTGCAGGGTTGCAAGGCAAAAAGAATATATTTTAAGGCATCCCTTTCACAGTGTATTTAGGAATGAAATAAATTGATGAATTTTCTGGGTGGAGTACATTCACGCATGGACACCCTGAAAATATCTCTGGTTGGCCCACCTTCTATGAGGGTCTCAAGGCAAAAATATTTTAGAATGCATCATTTTATGTTCTTTTTTAGATATCTACAGGGAGATAGATGGAAGAACCTTTAGGGCAAGAAAATATCAACAAGGAGGTTATGTGTCAAGTACTAGATTTTTTTATTCTAGACTGGATTTTTAGTCCTTATACAGCCTGGTTTGTGAAGGATATTAGTACAAATACAAATATGTAGAGTGCAAAACCTTGTATTTTGTATGTATTTAGGCTCAGTTTGGAAGGAGTACAAATACAAATATGTAGAGTACAAAAACTTGTATTTTGTATTATTTTGTATGTATCTGCACTGTACATATTTATATTTGTACTCCTTCCAAACTGAGCTTTAATAACACTTTTTGTTAGGGTATTCCATCATCACATCTCTCATCCTCTAAATCTTTTCTGTAGTTTTATTTTAATAAATATTCTACAATTAACAATTTACCATTAGAAGCATTTTTTAAACAAAAAGCAAAAAAGAATCTTGAGGAACCTGGTGTTTCGTCCACTCGTAAACCTTCTTGCAACCACAAGAGTTTTCCAGCAAGCATTGAATGGACATAATATTCAACTACTGTTTCAAGTCCTCAGCCTATTTGTATTTTGTTCTAATAAAATAAAATAGGAAGTTTGCAGTGTCCAGATTGCCTTGGAAGAGGAAAACTATGAAGTGACACACTGACACTGCAAATTACTGCATAACAAACGGACTTGTATAGACACTTTAGCTTTAAATTATTAACAGATGATTTACTAATACAATGGTAAAAATAAACACGGAAGTGTAACATTGAAAACAATAACTGAATAAAAGCCAAGGAATCAATCACTAAACAAAGAAGAAAATACATGAATCTTACACCATAAGATCCACATAACATAATGAATAGTGTAGACATTACAGTATTTTCCACAAATCTTACCATACATGTCTAACAATTTGAAAGGCCAGCATCAACTCTTAGCACCTGTTGAGCATATGTATTGAAGAGTATACTCATTTGAAGAACAAGCTTCTGCCAGATCCTGATGTGACCTAATAATTGCCTTTTCCAAGGATCTTAGAGACGGGCGCAGGCTTCTGGAATTCTGTTGAATATGGTGACCATGGGCTTTGCAGAGTTCCTGTGGCACAAAGAAGCTGATGAGATTTTTTTTATATAGATATAGCACGCGTGCAGTGTAAACTACCATGTCTAACACAAATGGCAGAAAGTCCCAAAACCACAGCCATAAACAGACCTGCCACCATTTAAGAATAAGCTCCAAATGTCGAGAGTTTTCCATATGATCTGCAATTGCCTCAATTAGCCTCTGCAAATATCTGAATGGGATTGAAGAAACAACAGCTAGTATATCAACTGGATTCACAGAAAGAATGCATTTCTTAATAAGAGCATCTTCATTTAGACGAAGGCTAAGCAATAGCGCTCTCGCAGGTTGATCTTCATTAAGAGCCTCATCAACTGCCTGTTTACAATAAAGAGAACATTAAGGTAAAAGCACAAATACAAAAAAAGCACATTCAGAAGCTCATGAAATGCCAAACAGAAAAGATAGATACCTCTGGTGTGACATCAATATCAAGGTCAGTTGGATCAAAGACAAAAGATTCATCTATAGAATACACCAGGACTCCCTCTGTTGTTGCTGCTGCCCAACACCTGCCGGTTGGTGCTATCCTCAAGCATTTTGTTCGAATAACTGTCCTTCCACGGTTTGGCATGGATCCCGGTAAATCATACCCCAACTTTGCTCGGGTTTGTTGGTCAATGCCCTCCTCTACATCACTATTCTCATCATCAATCAGATCCAAAGGACCAGCTTCTGTCATTTTTTTGGAGTTTAAAAAGTCTAAAACTCCATCCAGAGAGAGATTATGTGTTATCTGAAACCTTCTCAGCAATACCTATTATATAAAATGGAATAACCGAACGTCTTAGTTGACAAATACTGTAGTAGACACAAGCATTTTTCGTATAGGAATCTGAAATCTCACGAGCAAGAGAATAAAAGGAAAAACAGTAGAAATCATCCATTATAGTCGGCTTCATTAACATGATATCCAAAACAGTAGTACAAGAACCAGTCACATGCAATCAGTGCATGTAAGTACATCAGCAAGAACACAGATTATCATTGTTAAGTGTTAACCTTTCTCTCTTTTTGCCAATCTGTCTATATCTATTGCTAAGTGATTTTTTTTTACTTTTTGAAACTGCTGCCATAGCAGCTCCAGGTTTTTTTTTATGATCCCCTCCTTGGCCCTCCCACCTCTAAAGCTACCATCAGTGATTTCTAGGCTAAAAAAAGGAATATATCAAAGGTTGTTACCTCAATAACCAACTTGTTGCCTCACATGTGGCATGGCATGCTTTTTTTCTCTTTAAACAGGATTTACTTCTTTTTTAACTTTGTTCAATTGTATAAATAGAAGTACAAAGAAATAAGCTATACATGTATTTAAGACAATGAAGATCTGCTCTACATCCACCCCCTGTTTACTCCAGACCCAATTAGACTATTTACTGGAGTTCAAATCTCCGGATGTGCATAAAAAAGGCCATTAATGCATTACCCAATGTTGGTCTCAGCTATCTGGGGTCCTGAGAGGATGGACTGGATATGGACCCAACCTCTGCCATTACCTAAAAAATGTTTTCCTACAACAGTTACCATGGACGCCTCCCAAAACCCTTCCCCCATCAAATCCTGCCCACAAGGCCTACCTACTGCTTATCAGGAATTCCCATACACCACAAGACCCATGGGTGATGGGTGCCAAGCAAGATGCCATCAAACTGTAAACAAATCTCTTGACAAAAAGGTTGCTCTTGAATCACTTTCCCAATGGATGGAAATGACAGGATAGAACTGCAATAGGATATCCACATGCATTTGTCAAGTTATCAACTCATCTTCACAGTATGACATTACCCTCCTATGAACCTGGGGGTAACATTTTTTCTATTGTTTTGTTATTGTTTAACTGACAGTTCAATTATTCAATCTGCAAAAACTGTCAAATAAAATGGGAGCCAGATATCTTTTTGATTCACCGGTTCACCAGTTCAACCTTAGGGCAACAATTCACTAGCTTCTATTGTTAAATATGTTGATTCGACCATCCGCGAAAATGCAGTTAATGAAATAATCAACCTAGGAAGGCTTCTGGATGCCAGGTCCACTCAGAGTCAAAAGGGTTCCACATCACCACACCCTCATAATCAACTATAGATGCACAAAAAACATATAAAGAAATGCATCCTGAATGGTAAAAAGGCATGGGAGCTAACCTGGTCGGCAACATCATACATACAAATGTATTTGCTACTCCCTCCAGCTAAAATGTAACTCCCATCAGCAGAATAACACAAACTGGTAAAAAACTTCCCTGAAGTTGAGTTAGCTGCTGATCTTCGATCAGTCATGAGTCGCCCACCTGCAATGTCCCTACGACCCTCAATTGTATACATTAATACGCCATCTATAGGATCCCAGAAATGGATTTGACCATCTAATGTGCTGCAAGCTAATTGCTTTCCATCAGGACGGTAAACTAGTGTGAGAACATCATGTGTGTGAGGAAATGACTCAACAGCACCTTTTCCATCAAAAACATCCCACAATCGAACAGTTTTGTCCCATGAAGATGAAGCCAATATAGCCTACAGGAAGAAGCAGAATATCTTGTTAAAATGTTAAGCATTACATCACATAAGAAGAAGCAACAACGAAAAAGTTATTTCTGCCTACTAGTAAGTAAAATCTCCCATTAACATGGGAATGGTACACTTGGATTGGCTTCACATAATCCTGTGACTAATCTAGAGTCACAGCAAAGCAACATAACTGAATGTAAGGAAACATTATGACAACCTGACATAACTAGACTTAGATGCACTTACATTTGTAGGCGAAAACATCAAACCATGAACCGGCCCTTCATGACCACTAAGGACATCCAACAATCGGCCAGTCTTCATTGACCAAACAAAGATCTATAAATTTAACAACAAACTCTGTCAGGAATAAGAATGCAGAGCTGCCTTAAATATCAATAAAGGAAAGTAAATACCTCAAAAGAATCTAGAGTTCCAGCACAAATAACTTCACCACTCTGATCTGATGCCAAGGAGACAAACTGCCTAGAAGATGGAGTGGTAAATGTCCTGAAGTTTCGGTAGCGGAACAAGTCCCAAGCTCGAACAGTACCATCCAGAGATGCACTAAGTAGACAATGGTTACCAGCCATAAAGTGTACTGCTGTGACTGCATTAGTATGCTCAGAGAAGGTTACAAAACAAGCACCTGATGAAACTGTCCATACCTGGTGCAAGGAAGCAATAAATCTGCTGACCAAGCTCACATACAAACTGATGAACATACATATAAATACAGGAGGAAAGGTAAACATGTGTCACAGAAATCCAACCAATTCACTCAGCCTTCTAAACCTTGACTATACATGTTATGCATGCATGCAGGTATATATTATTGTGCAAAATATAAGTATAATTGCATATGGAGGATTAGCATCAGATAACAAATAAATGACAATGAGAATACCATGAGTTTCACTTATATTATCATTCACCTTTATTTTGTTATCATCCGCTCCAGTGGCCAAAAGTTGTGAATCAGGTGAATAAGCAAGGCAATTAACATCAAAGTAGTGACCCTGCTGTTTCAAAATATAACTCTCCGATCGCCACTCCCACACAAGCAGCTGTCCAAGTTTTGCACACCCAAATGTCAACCAATTCCCAAGCTCGTTAAAAACAGCAGTTGAGATCTTCTCCCTTGATATCGAAAGCAAATGAACGCATACAAAATCAGGCATCTGATAAAGCCCAAAAACGCCATTAGAGAACCCCACAACTACGAGATCAAGACCTCTATGATAATCGCAGGCTGTCAATTTTGCTGATGCCTGAGTAAAATAGTCTTTCTTGGACAACTCCCACTTCCCTCTATGAAGAAATCCGCGTTCTTCATCTAAATTGTCGGCATGATCATCAATATTCTTCCTTTTCTTAATATTGCCATTGGGAAAGCTCACCAAATCACTGTTCGCGTCTCCCTGAGGTCTTAGCTCTGGTGTGCCCGGAGAAGGAGGATCAGAAACTTCCCCCTTTAAATCGTCAGTTTTCTCTTCATTGTCATTGTAAGTCCAGCTGAATAACGCGCAATCACGTGAGATTGTATAAACCCTAGAAACCTTATTCAACTTCTTATCAATGCAGAAGAAAGCACCAGTTATGGCATCCCTGTGCCCTAAAAACAAAAATGGCTTATTAAACACATTCAATTTCTTCAAACAGAATAGTCTCACCGTCAAATCCTTTGAACCAGCAAGAATATAGTTCGAATCCGGGCTCCAATCTAATGACGTAACTGTGGCATCACAATCGGCAAAAGTTCGAATTAACTGAAACGGAAAGAACTCCTTACGGAACCCAGGAGACCGCCATATCTGGAGCAATTTACCGACACCGAACGCAATCAACTCCCCATCGGGGCTGAACTTGATTGCAGAGACAGGCTTCTTAAACGACATACGATGAAGAATGACTCGACGACGTAAATTGATGAATAGACATCTAAGATTTTCGTCAACGGATATAAGAAAGTTACCGTCGGAAGAGACAGCAATTCGGGAAATGTTGGAGGAACTCTCACAGGGTAGAGTGAATGTTTCGGACTTTATCAGGTCGGTGACCGATATTCGATTGCCGACGGGAGAGATAAGTAGAGAGTTGCCGGAAACAACTACATTTCCTCCTCTATAAGGAGCGCCAAGAAGGTTCTGAAATCGGAAATTCATGGCTTCGATGTTCTGAGCTTTGACACTCCTGCAAACCGGTGAAGAACGAAGAAGATGTTTTGTAAACTAAACCCTAAACCCTGACCGTTCTGGTTCACTTTTAAACCCTAAAACGAAGAGCTCTCTGATCGCGCGGTTTTGCGGGGGAAGTTGAACCGACCCATTAGCTCCAGGCGACCCGAGTCACCCGACACAAACCCTTTTAGGCTGCATTTGGTCAGTGCACGCTTATTTGCACTAGTACAAATGCATGTGAGTGCAAATGAAAAGTATGCAAATTTTGGTTTAATTTTGTTTTGGGTGTTAATTTAGGTGCTGTTTGACAAGTCTTCTTTGAAAGATCTTCCAATAGATCTAGCAAACAAAAGATGATGTGAGATTTTGCATTAAGATCTTAATAGCCTAAAGACTGCTTGGTTAAGACGCATATTTTCATGTGAAGACGCGATGAAAAAAGTCAAAAAACTCTATTTGGAGCTTCTTGAATAGCCCAAAATGGGCTTCGTATGTCTTTTTGAGTGGCATTTTTTGGCAGTTAGATCTTTTCCCAACCAAATAGGAAAAGACCAAAACGTAGACCGCTAAGCTTTTAAACTATCGATAACCCACCTAGAAAGACGCGCCAAACGGGGCCTTTTGTTTCATGTCTTATTTTACTTCATTTGTAATGCAATCAAACAAAACAAGGTAAAATTTGAAACAAAAATAAACCATATATTTACACCCAAATACTTTGTAGTTTGCACTACCATAGTTCTACATCAGTTCAAATAGATTTACATTACAACTAAACACAACCTTAGGGTCACCCGTGCTAGGTCATCACAACCTGTGCAAAGAGCAAAACCATGTCATGTCGATACACGGGACCAAGACCGGCCGTACCTCCCTCCATTGGGATAATTTAGGGGGTTGGCCTGGCACGGCCCATGGTCCAAGCCCGTATAGGCCCGTGCCATGCCACAAGTCTAGACCGGGTAGGCTATAGATTGTATCGTAGGCTTAGGCTGAATTGGGGCAAAAAATCCTAAACTTTTTTTTTGACATTTTGATTTTTTTTATTATTTTGTTCTAAGTAAAACTAAAATACTTAATTTTCCTTTGAAAACAAATTGAAAAAATAAAAAATCTAACAAATAAATGAAAAAAAAACTTACCAAAATACAAAATAGACAACAAATTGGAAAAAAAATAGGAATTTTATTTTATTTAAAATATAGAAAATACAAAATGAAAATAAAAAATACATTGTTGAAAAAAAACAAATAATTTAAATAAAATTGAAAAAAAAACACTCCATATCCTTGACTTTAATCATTTGCTTCATCAAGTGTAGTAGTGTCATGCCCTCCTTTGTCTTGTAATTTAACTTCAACATCCAACAAATCTTTAAAGTATATGTCTTTTTATTGTTTCTCATGGAAGGGCAAATGTTTGCTCAAGTGGCCAATACCACCATTGCTATTGAAGCTAAAGTCAATCATACATTTTTGACAAACAACTCTTTTTCCCTTCCCGACCTTTTTTGGCAAAGTCAATCCTACATTTTTGGCAACCTCCTCTACTTTAAATACTTTATAATCGGGCTAGTGAACTTACCATTGAGGAATTTGTTTCAGGAGGAAGACCCGATGTTTTTTTAATTCTAAAAAATAAATAAAATTAATTTAACTACACTTACCCGGATAGTCAGATTACCAATTCAAAATCTAAACTTGATTTGAACTATTGAAGCCTCAAAGGCCAAAAGCTCCTAAATTGCTAAGCATATGACAATATGAGATGAGAGACTGAGAGAGTATGAGAATTGTTGAATTAGTGTGATGAGAATGGTGAAGGATAAGGTTATTTATATAAATTGAAAATAATTTAATTACCCAAAATACTCTAAAAACTAGTCGTTTTTAAATTGTTGGGGTGGGTACTTTGGTCATTGTAAAGTTATTTATCACTTTATCTAAATGCCCCAAAATCTCAAACTAACTGTTATATTATAGGATATATCTGTTGAAAAGGCATTATTGTCTTTCTATTCCCTTAAAGACAAAATACATAAATAATCCCTTATATGACTATTTTTAAGCTTATAGTTGTTGATTGAGGGGGCATTTATATAAACCCCCCTAAAAAACTAACACTAGTCATTTGGGGGGTCCCAAGGGCCCCAACGGCTAGTTTTCTCATATGGACTGCACCCGGCCCATTGCGGGCCCATGGGCCGTACCGTGTTGTGTATTGGACAGAGCAGCAAGCGGTACATCCCAATTTACGCCTCTAACTCCAATATTATCATATGTTAGCATGTTAGGAATTTTAAAGTGTTTGGAAGCATGATATCATGGTCTTTTATTGGTTCATAACATTAAACGAACAAAATGAGCCTATTTGTATAAATTCTCTAGGGAGAAATATATAGAAATTGAAGTACATGGAAGGTCTAAAAAACATTTGTCATAAAACAAGAAAGATGATGTTTAAAACATTTACCTAAAATTTATAATCCATATAATTTTTTTATGGCAAAGTAGGCTCCGATGCAGCATGCACGGGCCTCAATTCATTCATAAACTCCCAATATAATAAAGTACCAAAGTTTCAAACATAAAATGAGGTGCCATAGTCCAAGTGAACATTCTAGGTATGTGAAGTGCTTTTATGGCTAAAACATGGGCACCTTTTTTGCACTTCATGGATATCCAAATGACTAAGCAGTGAGAGAGATGCACCATTAAGAAATCAGCAATAGTATGTGTCATAGAGGAACAAAATTTGCCTACAACAAATTCTTGATTTCCGCATGAGAGTATTCCTTACTGTCGGAGAGATGCACCACTAATTCTTTTCTTACTGTTTACATGTTGTCTTAGAGTATTCCTAAGTTTTCTAACAATTGTTTAAGATCTCCTTGCCATTAACATCCGTTGACAGAGATACTAAAATGACTATTTTATCCATTATTTTCATTCAATTTTCAAAATAAACCATGATATATAATATATATATANATATATATATATATATATATATATATATATATATATATATATAGATAGATAGAGAGAGAGAGAGAGAAAGAGAGAGCAGGTAGAGGGAGGGAGGAAATGTGTACCAACAGCGCAGCCATCACTATTGGATGGTAGAACAAAAGAGAGCGGAGACAGGGAGAACACAATTCTGTTCTTATATTACAATGCTTTAGATTTAAGTGCAATTGTCACTAGTGGTCAACACAACTTTCAGGCTTGCAGGGCTTCAACCTTCAAAAAAATCTTTGGGGGCGTTCTTTTTTTGGATTTTAAGAGGGGGGAAAGTTGGTTAATGGGATTTTAGTTCCCATTGATCAAGAATCTCATGTTCCTTTTTTGGCTTTATGTGGGGACGAGGGAAAGTTTATTTTCCTATGTACCACTTACCCAAAAAAGTGATTCCCATTCTTAGATGGGTAAATAACTTTCCTACATAGGGGGGAAGTTGTCAAAACTTTAATGGGACAAAAATGCCTTCTTTTAATAATGAGTTTCTATGGCTAAAATGGTCATTGCCTTATTTACCTAGGAAATAAAAGAACATGGGTAAATGCGCTTACCCAGGTAACCCATGTAATTGCATTTACTTGGGTAAGTAACTTACTGAAAAGCGAACGGGGCCTTTATGTTTAATGCACACAAGAAAAAGAAAATGCACTCCATAACTGATTCAACGTGCACCAAGAGTATTGTTCATCTCACCCATCTCTTGTTTTCTTTCCCCTGTGCCTCTAAACTCTAAAGTGAGGAGCTTCAGGTGATCCATCGTCAATCTGAGGTCAAAATAGCACACCAGATCCATTGACCAATTTCAAATGTTGCTATAACTGGTTCACCCAAATCCGACGACTTTGTTGAAATCTTCCTCTTCCCTCTCCCTCTCGTTGTCTTCCCCGATGCCATAAGTGAACCACTGGAATCGCCAAACTTTTGGCACTAAGAATTGGAATTCAAGGAGAAACATTCATTTAGGTGGATCTTCGAGTATCAAGAGGAAGGACATGGCATCCTTTATGCTGCAGCTGAGATTGCGTCGGCCCTTGCACTAGTAGTCGACAGACGAAGACAGAGGAAGAAGTAATGATATGATAGTGTTTGCTAAACCGCATGCCCAATTGTAGTTCTATTCTTTGCATGAAGAAACCTTCCTCTTGATTTTTCTATGGGGGAGCTTCTTTGAGGTCTGCCTCCTTTTAGTTCTTTGAGGTTGCAATATTGAGACTAAGGGTTTATGTTTTGTATCATGGTTTTCAAAACCAAACTGGACCAGACGGTCGGACCAAAAAATTGGGAACCGGTTAGGTGACCGGTTCCATTTTTCCCTAAAACCGAGATTTCTCAAAAAATTGTTGATTTTGGTTAGCAAACCGCTGACCTAGGCGGTTAACCGTTTGAACAGTTTTTACCATTTTTTATTTGTAATTTTTTTTTGTCAAAACGGGCTAACTATTTGATTCAAACAGTCAGACCATTCAACCCGATAATCAGGCCCCTGACCGGTTCAGTCTCCAGGTCGGTTTTTAAAAACCATTTTTTGTATGATCCTACGGATCCAAAATCAGCTGATTCATGTTTGAAACATATAATGATGCACCTTAACAAATACAAAATCAATGTGTAAGTCAATGATTTTGTTGAATTAGATTTGTCTCATGAACTTGCTTCTGCTACAGAGAATGATGGAAACTTAAGTAGACCAGGTTGCTACATAATCTACCTCCATAAAATGAAATAAAAATTAGCATGAAGATTTGTCTCCAAATTAAGTTGATTCACGTTCAAAGCAATCTAATGATGCACATCAACAAATACAATATCAATGTAAGTTAATGATTTTGTTGAATTAGAATTGTCTCCTAAACTTGCTTCTGCTAGAGAGAGTGATGAAAACTTAAGTAGACCGGGTTGCTACAGAAATCTACCTTTCATAAAATCAAATAAAAAGGAGCATGAAGATGTGGGTCTTGACAATGAAAGGTTTACTTTGTGTGAAAATGATTCATATATACTTGATTGATAATCAAGCGTATAGCAACAAAATTGAAACTGAGAACAATTGACCTAGCAGCGAAGCAATGACACTCCCT